CTGCGGAGATAATAACATGCACAAAAACAAGACAGAGAAAAACCAAGCAACAATGTACAACAAAACAACAACAAACCAATGACCCAAAACAAAACACAATAAGAAAGAAAAGCTTGTAGTAGTTCAAGGATCATTTGTTGCCCTTTAGAAGTGTTTTTCAGTCCAGTCTGTTGGGGCACCACACTCTGGCCCCACAGTCCACCTTCAGCATTCCCTGGGGACCTTGCCGCTCTATTCCCTTGCTGTTCCACTGCACTCCCCCAGTGCTTTGCCTCAGTGTGGTTGGCGGGATCAGATCGGGTGTGTTTCCAGCTTTTCAAAGCTGCTTTTGAAAAGGTAGTTCAATGCTTTTTATTACATTTAGCGATCTTCCAAATCACAAAAGTTAGGTAGACATCACATCCTTCTTTTCATTCCTTGCCCCCACAACTATGGCCCGTTTCAGTGTCTCTGCCTTCCCTGGTGTCCTGGAAGGGTGTGAATCAAAGATGGGCGATGAGTTCCTCTGGGCTGTGTGTGTTTGAAAATGTGACTATCCTTGGTTGCTCTGTAGGAACTGGGGCCACAGCTAATCATACTGTCTTTTAGGAGTTTGGCCGAAGTAGTCTTCAAGTTCACGGTATCTCACCAGTGCATTTTCAGGTCTGACTTGTATGTGTGGAGCTGTCAAAGCATCTGAGAAACCCCAGGCTAACGTGATGACTCGATTCAATTCTGAGAAGAGAAGGGTTTCAGGGATGTGCACCTATAAATACATGCATATATGTTTCAAATGATCTCATCGTTCTGGTTTCATTTTTACTTCTCTGAGCTGAATCACTTTGAATTTACCTCAAGCACATTTAAAATCTTTCACATTTGCTTTCTTTTTTTTCCTCTGAGAGCTTATATTATTTCTCAATGTGTTTGAAAGTTTGAATTGGCTAATTTTCTTAGAATATGATGTGTGTGTGTGTGTGTGTGTGTGTGTGTGTGTGTAATGGAGGTTGCCTAAGATTATATGCATATTCTTGTAAAAGAGTTGAATAAAACACCTAATTATTCTCTATCCTAGGAGCTGGGAAAATATGGTCTGCTTTATTATAATGCACTGTTCATGATTCTGCCCACACTGGGCATTGCATATTTCACAGGAGATGCACAAAAGGTAAGACTTTCTAACTAGAGTTTAATGGCTTATGTTGATGAGTTGCCTTATGATTCATGACTCAAAGTTAGACCTTATTAAGTGACCAAAACTGGGAGTTTGCCTTTTGACTTGCTAATGCCATGCTAACTTCTTTTTTTTTTTTTTTTGGACATAAGTATCGGATAGTACCAAAATGGCTCAAAATAGCTCCGACTTGTCATTATAAAAATAGTGCATGACAACTCGTGTCCTTTTTTATGTGCCAGAAGGATAGAGGAAGGGAAATGTCACATTTCTCCTGAACTACAAAATAGGGATAATAATAATAAATTTAAAAAAAACTCTCCTTGACAAACAAATGAACAAAAATCCTAAGAAGTAAAATTCTTATCCTAAGTCAAATGATGCTGGGCCTCATGAGCAGCTTTGTGTTTGATGCACACTTGTCCTCCTGGCGTAAAGCTCAGGCTGTTGTTCCCCATTGCCCCTCTTCTACAATATTTAGCTAAATAAATACAGACTAGAGGAATAGCAAAATAAGCCTGGAGAACTTCCCTCTAAAAGGAGGCCACATTCATAGGGGAAAAGTGATACCATATTGTTGAAGTTCACAGAGATTTGCAAACTAAATAGAACTCCAGACTTCTGCCAAGGATTTCTGTGCCAAGATTTCGACTAATGATCCCTTTAGCTGCTAACCTGGTCTGAATGTGTATGTTGGTTCTTCATTTGAATGGCCCTGCCAACCCCACACGTCACAGGAGCTGACATAAAAGGTTTTTGAAAACCATTATATTGCCAACAAATTGTTTTTTTGTTTTTTGTTTCCCATTAAGAACTATTTCCTTTAAAGACCTGGTACAGATGACCTTGAATGCATGTGTGAATGTTGTAATGAACCGTGACCTGGCTGCTAGCAGACACAAACATGGCCCTGAAGTAGAAACCAGAGCCATTGCTCTGACTACTAAGGAGTGTTGAATAAATATTTTGTAACTGTGACCGAATAAGGAGAGGAACTAAGTGGTGGAGACAATGAAACACCCAGCTACTAACCAGAAGGTTGATTGGCTCAAATCTCCCCAGAGATGCCTTGGAAGAACTCTCTGGTGGTTTACTTCCAGAATCAGCCACTGAAAATTCGGTGGACAGTTCAACTCCGCAAGACATGGTGGGGCCACCAAGAGTTGGAGTCAACTCGGTGCCAATGATGATGTGTTTGGGGTTTTTAGGGAGCTCGTTCCTATATACATTTATAATGTTTGCATTATTTATACCTTAGCAATGTGGAAATAAGAGGTTTGGTGAGACTGAGTAACGTGCCCAAGGTCATACAATTACTGGGTAGTAGCGTCAGGATTTATGTAAAACTAAGCTTGACTAGTAATTGTTGCTAGGACCCAGGATTACCTGTCCCTATTTCAGCCAAAGACATAGCATGTTGACACAAGAAACTCTTAAGTTTATTCTGGGAGCAAGTGACAGAAGGCAACCGTGGGGTTCGCTGCTCCAGACTGCTTTGCAAATCCAGTGAAAATCAAGCAAGTTATATTCCCCAAACCCTGTGACCAAAAGCAGGTTTTACAATTATCACAGGAAACAACACCCCAAGCCATGTGAGAAAGCACAGGTTTTGCAATGATCACAGGAAACAATTAACTGTATATACATTTTCCCACTTATCATTAGTTCAACATTTACCAGACCACCAGGCCCCAAAGCACCATGCTCCACTGCTTACCTCCATGGGGGATGCTTCATTCCTCTCTTGGTAGCCTTGCTTACCACATCCCTAAGGTAGAAGACCATCCCTACTGATGAAGCTTATAAGGAATTTTTACTGCAAGGGAGGGGGCTGATGCATGCTGCTACAGAAAGCTCCATTTTGGATTTCCAACCAACAAGCTCTTTAAATTATGTTAATACTTCCAGTATTTTGATTAACCTCACACTATCTTTCACCACCCCCAGTCATAGTGACTGTGGTCTCTAGGGTGTTTTGTCTTTTTCTAGCACACTCCGGCAGAAGGGGCTCCTACTCTTCAGGTTTGGGGCATCAAGTGGTCAGCCTCTTCATGGTTCTATGTCCTGAGGCAATTAGTACGTGAGAAAATAAGGAAGCTGAATGTGGATAGATACTCAAAGGATTTACCTCAGGGGGAATTTTCATTAAACCGAAACCTTGACTAGAGATTTTTGCTACTTGAAGGAGGATGCATTTCTTCATTCCCAAATGATTTTAATTTCCCTATAAGTGATCTGTAAATTTACAGCACAATCTGTGAGTTTTCAGCATAATTTCATGCATATTTTCAAGCTCAGTAGTTCATATTCAATTAGAATGTTTCATTGTAATTAGGAATGACTTATATAGTATAAAAAGTTACTCACCACTTATATTTGGATGAAGTTGAAGTTTTCTTAATTTTTAAGCAGAGGAGTGGAATTTGAGTAGTCTGTTTGTTTCCCCAATGAAAATGCCAGGCAAAGGTCAAGAAAGGTTTAGTTTGGAAGAATTGTGTTTTTAAAGAACGCCCAGAGCACTTCCCGGCTGGATGGTAAACTAATTACCAAAGTTGAACTCGTTGCTTTGTAATCAAACCCCCATCAGCGTTTTAGGCTTACATCCATGTCCACTCATGCACAGTCTTATGGCTCCTATAAAACAGTTATCGGTACTTATTGGACACTCTGGCTTATTTGAGCTTCATGCTCTTTCTCCTCCCGCCCACCCTCAAGTAGTCAGGAAGTGTTGGTGTTGTGCCTCTTTGTGTTGGATGGTAAGAGGCAAAAGGTGCTCTCGCCGTGGAGGGCTTTATGGTCCACTTGAGTAGACCTGACAATATAACAGCAATAAACTGTGAGGGAAGTGTATTTGGGGTTATAAAGAGGAACTGGATCCACCTCATCTCCTTGTTGGTGTTTGGAGTCAAATGCCCCATGGGGGTTTGCCTGTAGAGAAAATAAAATATCGGTGATGATGAACCATCGCCGGTGTTCTGGCAGGTTATGAATTAAATTTGAAGCTGAGAAGAGTTCTAAGTTTGATTTTGTTCATAAATCCCATTTGTGTTTATGAGACACATCATTACAATTTTACAATTTAATTAGTGTTTTGCTTATGGAATAAGTCACTGCAATTTCATTTTGAATTTAATTCGGCGTAGTATTTTTGACTAGCTTCCCTTGGCTAAGAAAGCCTTATACTGAGATTTCTTAGGGATAAGTGAGAAATAAAATGACTGCAGCCTTTGACACACGAGGAAGGTATTTTGCCTGGTGCAGAGATGGGTTGAGAGCTAACACCAAAGTGCTCCCTGCTCACTAAGCACTTAGGCATTCACTAGGAAGAAATGGGTGTGAGCTGACTATCAAGGTTGACTTTTTAGAGGAAGTAGGGTTTGATTTTTCTTATGCACTAAGTGCAGTAGGTCATCCTACCCTGTTCTGGGGGGTTGTTAGAGACACTGAATAGAGAGATAGTTGAGTGGTTTGCTTTGATTAACGATGGGAAGAAGCCATAAATATCCAACAGTTTCCAGAAGACTCTTAGTATCCTTTAAGAGATTTTCAATGTGTTTATTCCACAAAGATTCCAGTGACAGTAGTCACACGTCCATTTGCCTGAAACTCTGGCAAAAAGGGACCACACTGTGTGAGTGGCAGGATTGCAGGTTAGAGTTTGCTAGTGAGTCAGGTGTATTTTCATTATAGAACCATTAGAACTGTGCTTTCCCGCCATCTTATGTGTTGTGTCAATTAACATGCACATATATATTTATGACATTTTTAGAGTGGGCACTTTGTTTTTTGGATATTTTATTTTTTGTGTAGAGCTGTTTTTAAGTGAACAATTAGAGCCTAATTTTGGCCTTTGGAGATGCCTTACCTCCGGGGGATGCCAACTCATACTCCAACAGCAGAGCTCCCATGTGCTTATGAGGTGGGTGGTTGTGAGAGATTGAATTGACCCCTCCCAGATGTCTTGTAACCCTAACCCGTGTACCTGCTGATATAATACAGTTTGACAATAGAGCGTTCTTTGTTATAACGAGGCCATATCAATGCAGGGTGTGCTGCACATACCTTATCATTTTTGAGATATAAAAAGAACGGATCAGTTGTTCATTTCTACGTCTTCCTCGTTGTTGATTTTAATTTCCCTAGGTGTTGTATGCTCCTCGGGAACTAGGGAATTAAAATCAACAATGAGGTTGATGTAGAGATCCTAGTGGTGTTGGAGCAACAGCAATCTAGCTGAGAGGAAGTACTAAGAGGCAGAAGAAGGGTGAGCATGATGGTGGGAAAGGAAGAAGGTAAAAGGAAACAAAGGCAAGATCTAGGCAGCAAAGCTATGGATAGAGGTATAAACAATGGTGTACACCTATGTGAATATATTCATAAAAATAGAGGTACTGGCTTAGGTACACATATTTATATGGCAATACATTGAGAAAGTGGATGGATTTTGGGCCTCTGCTCAAGCCCTCCCTCAACGCATGAACACTTTGTTCTAACAACATGGCATTCTGTGATGCTCGCCCTCCCAGCATGATCACTAAAGACAAAATGGGTGCACAAGCAAATGTGGTGAAGAAAGCTGATGGTGCGCGGGTATCAAAATATATAGCATCTGGGGTCTTAAAGGCTTGAAGTTAAACAAGCGGCCATCTAGCAGAAAAACAACAAGCCCACATGGAAGAAGCACGCCAACCTGTGCAATCATGAGGTGTTGACGGGATCGAGTAACAGGCATCAGACGCTCCAAAACAAACAAACAAACAAACAAAAACCATATTTTTGAGAACCAGGGGTGTCGGAGCAGAGACCCCAAACCCATCTGTAGACAGTGGGACATCCCCTCACAAAAGGGTCACAAGGAAGGGACGAGTCGACCAGGGTGCAGTAGAGCACTGATGAAACACACACTATTCCTCTGGCTCCTTGAGGTTTCCTTACCCCCCACTATCATGACCCCAGTCCTGCCTTTCACGGTGGGCTAGGCTGGAGCATGTACA